CCAAAGATCCATGCCATGTGTGGGATTCGAACCCACGATCCCGACTTCTAAGCGAACGAAGACAGTACATGCCTTAGACCGCTCGGCTACCGTGACCGGCAGTGTATAAGAATAATATGTAAGAATTCAGTTCGTACCTCACAGGAAACAGATCCGAACCCACGATCCCGGCTTCCGAGCGAGCGAAGACAGTACATGCCTTAGACCGCTCGGCTACTATTTACTTTTGTTTCTGTTAAATACATCAAGTCGAACAAGTAAGAAACAGAACTTAATTAGGTCTTCATTTTATGTTATGTGCCAATTATACGTGTGACGAGTATTTTGGGGGGCGGAGGATTATACTTTTAGAACTGACTCGAACAAATTGGCTCAGTCGGTAACTTTCCTAGCTTATGTTTTGGAGGAACCCAGTTCGAAACTCGACCGGGACACCGGCTATCCTAACTGAAGTTTTTCGCTTCTAAGTACTCTTCATAATCACCTCACAAAGCAGTGTTAAGATTTGATACAATTCTATTCGTATACTGTGTTGACCGACGATTGGTTTAACTGCAGTCCAACCGACTGTAACTATTTATGGAGCTCTGGAAACTATGTGTACAGCTAGGTTTGAAGCGAAATAACCAAACATTATACTCAAACTTTCGGATTCCATAAAACGCTGTGAATACATTGAGTATTTGAGTAACTATTTCCTTCCCAAGAAGGACTCAACTCCATAGACTCAGTAATTTACTTAACACAACCTCAGGACTAAGCAGTTTATTTTTGTGGGGTTTGTTTTTTCTCAGAACAAGCGCCGATCATGAGACTCCATATTCTTACGGCGGTGAACAGTACGATTACGATCTTCTGGAATATAAACGGGGTTTAGTTTGGTAAACTGGTACCAATGTTTCGGAGATTCATGCTTCCTCCATCATCAGGTTAAATCTACAAAGCTACACGGCGTCACTGCCTGTCACTGCCTCGAAGACAGTTGTCATAAAACAGCTATTATTTCGGAAAGCATTAACCGACTGATCCTTGTAAAGGAGGTCCGACGAACGAATCGACTTTAGAAATATTACTTAGATGAACCTGCTTAAGGGTTAAATTCCTTAATCAAAATTGAAAAGCAAATTGTGAAGTCGATTGATTAGAAAAATCGGGGCACAAGTGAAGTTCCCAAATCGATCGGACAGAAAAGTGGATGCTCGCGTGTAAACTACCGACTGATAATCATATACCTATTCGTCTGGCCCAATGGTCGACCGGGTAAATTGCTGCTCGCCCTCGCCAGAATTTTTATTCTTTTCGAGTCCCGCGGGACTCACGACCATGTTTTACTGTCCCATTACTCTGAGAGTCGTGCAACCCTCTTCCCCGTCTGGCGCAGATACTTTTATGATGGCTCTTGGCGCGTTAATAGGTACAGTATACTACAAGCCAGGTCACGGGTTCGAGTCCCGATGAGGTTATTGAATTTTTCAATTCACTTAATCCTTCCAGCCTCACTATGGCCCTGGGGTCGACTCAGCCTCTAACAGAAATGAGTACCAGGAATCTTCCTGAGGGGTAAAGGGCGGTTGGCGTACAAGACTGACAAGCTTACCCCCATCTGTGAGCTGTTTGTCTAAAAAATGTGGGGGCCTCTACCTCTAACAACCCTGCGAGCATCCGCGGCCCCTTACAGGGATAGCTTTACCTCTTTAGTTTTACCTTGGCGCGTTAATAACGAAACGTTGAATATAAAAAAGATGCTTATATCGGTTTCAACACGTTTACCTATTTACATAAAACTTAGAACGATGATGTAAAGATTTTTATAAGATTAGATATTTGGGTTTTAATAAAATGGAAAATTAGGATTTTTGCTAGAATCGGACAAAAGTAACGGGCACATTGCACGAAGACCTACACGCGTTTCTGTTCACGTGTCGAGCATAAGTCGCGCATGCCCTACCAGATCCTTTATCAACTGAAAAATGTTTCGAAAAAACAATGCAGAGGAATATGAAACGGATATTTTATGTTACATGCAATTTTTTCTCTAGTTCATACGGTTTTCGAGATAATAAACGAAAGCGAGAAAACGTAGACGAAATGTCACTCTCTGCGTAAATTCCCAGGATCAATCTGGGCACCTCCAGGTACTACACATTATCTGGTCTAGTTAATAGTTAATTATAATATAATCCATTTGTGTGCGACTATTAGTTTTGTCTTGCAATTTAAAATATCAGATCAATGTATTTATTTTGATAACAATATCTGAACTGGGTGCTGGGTATTCAATCATGTTCACATGTAGCTACCTAAACAAACTATTGGAGGAAAGCAAATAAGTCCTCACAGATGATAAAATTACCGTATTTATCTGGCACGTTCCAGACACGCGAAAATCGTATCACAAACTCGCAGTTCCCTTTTTCGTGAACCCAGTAACAGCAACTATATATTTGAAGTGACAGTTATGATCAGCTGGTTGGGAAAATACGTTGCAGTTATTGCTCTATGGTGTCCTTCTCCATACAAACTAAGCCGTATTCGTTGAGTTTCTCCGTCCTGTTACCATCGCATTGTAAATACAAATGTGATCAAATGGAAGTAACAGTTCCGATCGCTATCCTGTGTAAACATGTTCAATTGTTGGACGTGGGACATTTTGTTTCTAACAGGAGCTGATTATCTCTGAGCGGCCTCTGTTCAAAGGTTTGTCTGAATGTTATAAAAGGTTTAATTTTTCTTGGAAAATATTTTTTGAGGATGCTTATAGAATGAATATTATTTAAGTGATTTGTACAGTGCATAGAATAACAATAGTCACACAAGAATAATGATTTTCAGGGTCAGTTGTGAGAACAATAGTGGCTTTTAGTTGTTTCATGCAAAGGCATACGCTGTCATCGTAATTTTTCCAAGGACTTCTGGTACAAGCGTGATATTCGACAATATTTACAAAGTAAAGAACGACGTCTTATGTAAAGGTTATGTCCGTACATTTACACGTGACCTGACATCACAGCTGGGCAGACTGCATTTTAAAATTTCACTTAAGAGGCTCCCGTTGAAGTTGTGCAGGAATTATAATTTTCAGTTATGTTGATCCATAAAGAGGTCTGTCTTACCTTAAGGCCATAAATATGCTTATTTTTAAGGCAATAAATTTTTATCAAATTTTCTATCACGTATATTTACACAAAATTAGTCGGAAATTGCATCGTTGTGTATTAAAGTTGGTTTCACTTAAGGTCATATACGATTTTCTTCCACAGTTAATCAAAATTTAGTGTAATATTTGAACACAAAGCTTTGAATAACGTTTGTCACCATTTTGATTCTTCGCTATATTGACTGATTTGTTTTTTCTTTTTGCTTTTAAGATCTTGTACTTCAGAAGTTCTTCTTTGATTTATTTACATAAGGGACACGTAAATATTTCTTACAGCCTTTATAAATAGCCTCCATGTTAATACGCTGCAAAGAACGCCTCTGAAGGTTTTGTGAATTGCATTGTGTAAAGGTAAAAAATTTGGAAATGACAGCAACAAATCAAAACATGATTCAGGAGGAATTTAAGAGGAGACTGAATTCGGGTAATGCTTGCTACCATTCAGTCCAGAACCTTTTGCCTTCTCGTCTGCTGTCTGAAAACATAAAAATTATAATAATAAAACTATAACTTTGCCTGTGGTTCTGTATGGGTGTGAAACTTGGTCTCTGATATTAATGGGGGAACATTAACTGAGGGTGTTTGAGAACAGGGTGTTGAGGAGAATATTTGGACCGAAGAGAGATGAAGTGACAGGAGGTGGAAGAAAACTGCATAACGAGGAACTTCATAACTTGTACTCTTCTCCAAGTATAATTAGAATGATCAGGTCAAGGAGGATGAGATGAGCAGAGCTTGTAGCACGAATGAGAGAGAGAAGGAATGCATACGAGTGTAGGATATTAGTGGGAAAGCCAGAAGAGACCACTATGATCTGGCTCAGGATAAGGATTAGTGGAAGGCTCTTGTGAACAAGGTAATGAACCTTCGGGTTCCATAAAATGCTGGGAAATTCTTAAGTAACTGCACAACTGGTGGCTTCTCAAGAAGGGATGAGCTCCATGTAGTTAGTTAGTTAAAGGTAAAGAAAGTAAGTTTGTCCCTGTGCTTAACTAATTAAGCACTACGCCATGATTATGTATGTGGGATCCGATATAGTATAGCTCCACCATTCTTGACCTCGGCACTAGATGGAGGTGAGTGGTCAACTTAACTCCCCTGCCGCTTTACCTCTGGGGAAAACTCCTCCGGTTCCATTTGGATAAGAGGCTGTGTGGACCCCACAACTGGTCTGGACGACTTGGAGAGGAGAACATTTTTGCCCCTGCCGGAATTCGAATTCCGACCTCTCGGTCGTCCAGCCCCTAGCCGGTCGCTATCCCGTCTACTGTACTGCACTGTGTACCCAGATTTACTGTTTATATTGTGACATTTCTTGTTGGATTGTTAAGTTCCTCGCCCGCGTTTATTACCAAACTCACGCAAGGAGGCTACAATCCACACGGCAAGTACTTTACACATGTGTGAATTTTGTTTGCTGTTAAGAACTGTGTGCGCAGGCAGAGAGAGAGAGCGGCGGGGTTACTCCACGGATGAATGAGGCCGGATGGAAAGGGAAAGAAAGGGCAAATTGTTTCCAACTCCTGCAGTCCTCAGACACACGCAACGCAGAAAGTTATCAGTTAACAGTTTCGCTATATCATTACTCGTAGTTGCCTGAGATCATGGTGCAGTTACTATAGTCTGTTATTCTATTCATGACGTATTTATTTCTATTTAGTCTCACGTGTTGCAGGGGATGAAAACATGGGATTCCCCTCGAAAGAATATCGCGGGAACAAGAGATCGAGGCAACGCACGAGATCCCCGCCATGTAAGACTATTGGGGTCGGCTTCATCTTACGGTTCTTCAAAGACTACTTCATAAATTCTTCTCTTCACGGTCTGCGCTACATAGCAGAAGATGGACGACATTGGACAGAAAGGTACTGAGAGCAAGGACCTGTAAACTTTTAGTTTTCAAGGCTCTGGTTGTTCAGATTGTGGTCACACACAGATTGCAAAGCGATCTCATGAGCTTTTTTCATTTTTTCAAAATAAGTAAAATGAGGCGCTTCATAATTTGTGAGGTGCATGGAATGTAGCACGCATAATGGAGAACAGAAGTGCATATAGGATCTTAGTGTGAAAACAAAAGGCAAAGAGACTACTAGGAAGACCTAAACATAAGTGGAGAATAACATTGGAATGGGTCTTAAGAGCGATAGCATGGGATGGTATGGACTGGATTGATCTGGCTCAGGATAGGGACCAGTGCGAAGTTCTTGTGAACAAGGTAATGAACTTTCGGGTTGCATAAAATGTTAGTAAATTCTTGAGTTGGTGAGCGACTCGCGGCTTCTTAAGAAGGACTCTGATCCAGGAAATTAGTTAGAAAAATAGGCTAGAAATAATAAAATACAGTACTAGAATAAATGAGGCTACAAATTTGAAAAATTCAACTTTCCAAAAATCAAGCCAAACATAAAAGGAATTTCTAAAAAAAGAAACGCTCTTCGCATTCTAAGTGTGCGTCTTAGTAGTTTCTAACCTTCATTTTCCGTATACATGAAATGTGAGTCTTGTTTCTAAATATGCGATGTTAAATCATATGTTGATCTCATATCCTTATTTTTAACATTTATTTACGAATATAAGTTCTTGCTTCCAGTCCAGTTATTTAACTTTATATATAAGAATTCCATTAGTGATTCCGTAAAAGTATTTCGAGCGCCGAAAATTTCCATGACCATACTGTTCTGGACATACGATCACCACATAATGACAGCAAAACGTTCCTGACTGCTTGGTGTGGAAAAGGTCAATAGATAATTGTCACGTTTTCCTTGCATAATTTGCTCGAAAGGGCACTGTGACGTTTCAGGTATGAATTGACCCCCCCTACTGCTTCTTTCAGATGCATCTGGATAGCCTTGTGTTCCATTGCTGTCGCCGGAGCACTGTATACGTCATCAAACATCTGGAACAGATACCAGACAAGTCCCACCATGACTGTGCTGCAAAGCACAAATTTCCCCATCGAAAATCTCCCCTTCCCGGCCATTACTATATGCAACTTGCACCACGTACGTTGGGACAAGGCAATTCTGTTCCAGGAGAAGTAAGAAGTCTTGCACAGTGGATATTATTTACGTCTTGAGTGTAACGTGAATTATCATTTTTTCTCTCTCTTTCACTATCTTATAATTGTTCTGTCAGCCATTCCTTGCCTATTTTCCGTCGCAAGGTTTAGGAAAGAGTTTTAATCAACAGGCCCTCAGTCAGAAGCATTCCACCGCCAGGGTAATATCGGGTCCTGGGTACTTTATTCTATTTGAACTTTGCAGAATTATGCTCGCGAAAGATATATATATATACTTTTTTTTTAAAGTAATAGACCATATATACTTATCACTAGGGCCCGGATTTTGATGACCTGAAAATATTTTTAAAATGACCTAAAATATGACCCAAAAATGTAATATGCAGGGCCAGGATTTTGATGACCTGAAAATATTAAAAAAATGACCTATAAAATTACCGAAAAAATCAGAAAAATGACATAAAGGAGAAAAGAAAGCATAATTCGCTTCCATTTTATTCACATTTCAGAAAACATACGAAGAAAAATTCCCTACAGTGGCGAAAAATGACAAGAAATACCCTTAAAAGTCTAAAAATTTACCAAGAAATTACCTATAAAATTTATATTTCTGTAACCAGCAGCTCAGATCCGAGATTTATATATTTAAGAGCATCGCATTGGATAGAAGGAAAAAAAAATGATATGTCATCAAAATCCGGGCCCTGCTTATCACACAGTCTTTAGCAATATCTACTTTAGCTCCTAGGCAGATCTTCTAGTAGTTCGTATATACGGGCAAGAGATGGCAGGAGCTTAACATCTCACGCTTCAGCTTGATGGAACTAATAAAACATTGAGAAATCGGAAGAGAACAATTGCACCTAAGAGAGAGAGAGAGAGAAAGTAACCGGAAACTGAAAAGTCTTAAAATAATGGGAAGATTCATAATTTGCAGGATTACTCTTGACCAAATATTAAGAAAGATAAAGAAAGATTTGGCGAACTGGGTACGTAGGGCACATGGAAAAGGTGAGAAACGCATACAAAATCTGTACTGGAAAATTTGATGGGAAGATATCTCTTAGAAGACCGTGGTGTCGGTGAGAAGTAAATATTGAAAATAATATGAAAGAAGTTGGATGGAAGAATGCCGACTGAATTCTCGTGACCCAGGACAGGAACCAGCGGCTAGCTCTTGAAACACTGCCATGAGTCTGAATTTCACAAAAGGCGAATGGGCCCATCTGAGGTATTACTTGATTACCCGTTTGAAGCGCAAGTCTCATCTAATTAGTAGTTAAATGTTGAGATTCTGCCTCACAGTAAATCTTATGAGTGTCCATTAAAAAATCAGTTCGTTAATGATAGTTAAGGAAATAATCATTTTCATTTTAAGAATTACACGAAACACATAAATACATTTTGTGGGAAAATTGCAGAGATTCTTAATGTTGAAGCAGGTGGTATATATACACAGGCGCTGATAGAATTTTCTCAAAGGAGAGCAACAGAACTTTCATTTACAAACTCGTGTTTAAGATCCTAGAGCAGTGGCTCCCAAACTTTATATTTTAGCGCCCTCTCAACTTAGCAACAATGTCATGACCTCCTTCTTACATTCGTGTATGTATAAAAAACACCATTTTCAATTTTTCATTTTTAAAATCGATGCGTAATAAGTTTTATCAAATAATATTTTTTGTGTTATTATAAATGCACGAAATTAACGTTACATTTCAAGAATTTTAATTAATTAAATTGTACTATATAACTTACCCAGAATATTCCTCGCTCCTCAAATATCCCCCCGCCCCCCTTTGGACACCACTACCCCGAAGTATCCAGGACGGAAGAATATTTCTTTAAATAAGTCTAATCCTTATTATTTATGTTTGGTGTATCACCTTCTCATTAATTTTGATACTTTCCCCCCCAAAAGAAATTCAGGTTGAGCAGATACCTGAATTGTCCCCCCACATCCACCCACCGCTGACTCCCATGTACCCAGTGTGACATAGACGGCTGAAACCTGTTTTGCTATCTCACCTGGAACTACATTTATATGTTCAAGGTATCTATCGGATGCAGACAACTTGACAGTCGACGCTTTTTTCCGCCTGGTTTCTGCGCTATCTGTCGTAAACTTCGGAGATTTCGACATGATCGGCACATATTTCGGGAACAGCACAGAAGACGCGGAGAGGCTGGCTGATCTGAACATTACGTTTCTCATGATGGAGGTACGAAAATTTCATGGCGTTTTTGTTCATCCGTGTCGCCGCAAAAAAATGAGCTTCTTACGAAATGTCACAAAGGGCTCCGGACTTGGACGGATTCTTTGCATAAACTAACTAAGCTAAGGAAAATGGACGTGAGTTTTGGCACGTGGAATGTAAGAAACCTGTATAGGGCAGGTTTGCTCATTACAGTTGCGAAAGAAAAATCATAATTAAAGATATATTTGGTGTGAGTACAAGAGGTCAGACGGCTCCCAGAGCCGCCCTGGACGCTGTGGAGTACATAAAAATCTCTTGCCCCTACCAGGAATCGAACCCCGACCATCCAGCACGCAGCCGTCGCTGCACCCACTAAGGTATACTGTAAATATACTGTAAATTTATTTTAAATTCAATCTTCACTAATAATTCTATCATTTGAAGCTACGTGGTAGCAAGTTACAGCGTCGTTAAACAGACCTATACAAGTACTTACTTACTCATGGAACTGAGCCCTTCTTGAGGAGCCGCCAATCCTGCAGCTACTCAAAAACTTCCCAGTATGTCATGGAACCTGAAGGTTCATTACCGTGTTCACAAGGGCCCTCCACTGGTCCCTATCCTGAGCCAGATCAATCCAATCCATACCATCCCATCCTATTCCTCTAAGATACATTTTAATATTGTCCACCCACCTATACCTTGATCTTCCCAGTGGTATCTTTCCTTCTGGCTTCCCCGCCAATATCCTTTATGCATTCCAGTCTCCCTCATTCGGGCTACATGCCCTGCCCATCTCATCCTCCTTGACTTGATCATTCTAATTATACTTGGAGAAGAACACAAACTATGAAGCTCCTCATTATGCAGTTTTCTCCAACCTCCTGCCCTACATAAACAAGTAAATATATAAATATTTAAACTACACGTATAAAACCCTGTACATCTTATCGGCTATTGTATATGAGTGTGAAACTTGGCCTCTCACTTTATGAGAAAATCTGACATAAGTGAAGTTGGGTTCGAGCTGTGAAGGTTACGGGCTTTGGGTTACGACGCCGTGCTGCTTGCTGCACCCTTATTGTTGGATTCTTGCTTGACTTATTCTTTGACCCTGAAGATGGAAGTAATACGTTCCTCCGAAACATTGGTGGACTTCTACCAAAATGCAAGGCGAAGTACCTCAAAATATCATATTCATCATGCATTGAGGATATTTGGGGGGAAAAAATTGATAAAAATATGTGGACCTGAAAGAGGAAATAACAGGAGGACGGAGAAAATTACGTAGCGAGGAGCTTTATAATTTGCACTCTTCGCCTAATATTATCAGAGTAATGCAAAGAGATGATGAGATGGGAGTGACATGTAGCGCGCATGGGGAATTAAATACCACGATTAATTCAAAATATTTATTGGTAAACATGAAGATAAGGTGCTCATTGGAGAACCTAGGTATAGATAGAATATTACTAAAATGTATCTCGGACTGAATTTATCTGGTTCACAACATGGACCAGTGGCTGTCTCTTGTGAACATGGTAATGTCCTTTCGATTTCCCTGGACTATGGTAGCAGGAATAGCTCAGTCGGTGCAGGGACGGGCTATGGACTTGATAGCCGGGGTTTAATTCCTGGTAGGGGCAAGTCGTTTTTGTCTACTCCACAGCGTCCAGAACCGGCTCTAGGGCCCACCCAGTTTCCTATCCATTGGTTACCGGGGACTCTTTTCCACGGGCGTAAAGTGGCCGAAGCGTGAAGCTGACCACTCACCTCCATCGAGTGACGAGGTCAAGAATGGTGAACCTATATATCCACTCCCCAAAAAGTCTTCATGGCGTGGAGGTTAATTAATCAAGTACAAGGACAAATTTGTCTTTACTTATTTTGAATTACGCGGGAGGCACTCTGTAGCGTAGTTGGTTGAGGTACTATGCTACAAACCGGAAGGTCGCGGGTTCGATTCCCGCTGAGGTTATTACATTTTTCAATTCACCTAATTCTTCCAGCCGCACTATTGCCCTGGGGTGGACTCAGCCTCTAACAGAAATGAATAGCAGGAATTTTCCTGTGGTTAAAGGGCGGTCGGTGCCTAAGCCTTGAAGTCTCACAGCCCTATGGACTCCCACGGCCTGTTATAGGGATAGCTTTACTTCTAGACTATAGGCTTATCTGTGGAGCAGCGCTTAACTGACTTTGTTTCCGGTACCGGATCAGGTGATAAGTTCGTGTGACGAGCTGTTTGTGGAGCAGTGCTGGTGGCGCAACTTGGACTACGACTGCTGCTCCCTCTTCGAGCTGCAGAAAACCGAATATGGCTTCTGCTATTCTTTCAATTCCGAGACGTCACAATACCGAAGACCGTAAGTGTGGTCAGCGCCACTGTTTGTTACCCTCCGTGACTGAACTTATGAATAACGCCAGTTCCCTAATGAACAATAATATTCATATTTATAAAAGCTGATGTTTTAGAAAAATACAGAACAAGCTGAGTCATTTTATGACATTGTCAGCCAATTCCCTCTCAAGAATTAAGGAGGGAGAGACGCAGAGAGAGTAGAGAGAATGGCGGGGGAATAAAGAGAGAGAGATTAAATACATCGCGGATTAAAAGGGTAAAACTGTTGCTGTGCTTAATTACTTAAGCATTATGCCATGAAGACATACGAGTACGGTGGAGTGGAGGTACAGCTCCATCATTCTTGACCTCGGCATTACATGGAGATGAATGACCAGCTTCACACCCCGGCCGCTTTAACCCCGGTAACAATAGGATAGGAGGCTGGGTGGGCCCCAGAATCGGCCTGGATGCTGCGTAGAACAGAAAACTATTGCACGTTGTGAATAGAACTCGGCCGTCCACCCTTCGCTATAGCGACTCCCAATTTACCGGGAGAGAGAAGAAAATTCAGGCTTTGAACTTTACCAGACAGCGCCTTCTTGTCTTTCTGGTAAACGTTGGTTGGAGAGAAGGTAACTTGTTGGGAAAGGAACTTTCTTTCGGGTCATAATTAGGGGAACGAGGGGCACTATGCTACAAGCCGGAAGGCAGCGGGTTGAGTCCCGATGAGGTGGATTTCTTCAATTTTCCTAATCCTAACAGCCGCACTACGACCCCGTGTTGGACTTAGCGTCCAACAGAAATAAGTACCAGGAATCTCCCTGGGGGCTAAAGGGCGGCCGGCGCGTAAGGCTGACCTCACCGCCACCTGTGAGCCGACTATCTAAAAAAAATTTGGGAGCCTCGACATCTCACAACCCTAGGGGCCTTCACGGCCTGTTACAGGGATAGCTATACCTTTTTAATAGGGGAAAGGATTATAGGAAGTTTTTTTTTTCTGTTTGATCGGAATGTTGGTATTAACGTTGTAAGGAGGGCTGCATGAGAAGCATAGAGGCATAAAACATGTACAATTAACAATACCTAAATACGGAAATTTGAAGAGAATAGATTAACTGAGAGAACAATGAATAGATGAAAGGAAATGGGATGTGAGGTTGTGAGCTGTGGACGGCGGGCTACTGTGAGCAGGTCTACGAATCTTCAGGCATTATAGAAGAGGGAATTTCTTAATTACCTTTATTTTCAAGGAAGTCACTGTACTTTGGCGGTAATGCTTTCGTTTGCCAGGAGTGACTCTCGCTTAATGTGGAATTGATAAAGGTTTGGTTTTTCTCAGGAGGCGAGGTGTACCCCAGGAGAAATGCCGAGAGGGTGACCAACACTGTAACCAAAATAAATGCTCAGATGATGATCCGGGGTGTAAGAAAGCAGATATAAGGCCTCGACGGACAAGTACAGCAGGAATGTGGAGTGGACTGCGGACCAAGGTCCAGACGTTTCCACAACATACTCCGCCCCTTTCTGCAGGCGAAAATGCCGCAGGTATACTGGTGAGTAGAACTCCTGACATGTCCACACTGTTACCAAAGCCGATCTCATGTCATCTCTTTCCGCAGCCGTCAGGTCGCTTAATGAGCTACCTACATAATGGCACTGACTGAGCTGCGCGCTGGGCCGCCGACACTTCGGAAATCGCTTCTCATTAAGGGAGCTGAAAGCCACTCTAGTTTTTGGCCACCGGAGGCTCTTTATCTTGGGGTAAAACGTACGAAGCGTGAAGCTAATCACTCTCCTCTTAGTACTGAGGTTAAGAATCGCTGTCATACCTCCACTTACCCGTATATCTTCATGATATCGTGCATAGGAACAATGTAAATTTACATTTACAATTTAAAAGAAAAATTTATATTATCCATATCTAAATTAAATTACAAATTTATCTTAATTAATCCACCAATTCTTATTACCAGAAACACCGTATAAGTGTAGGAAACTGCTAAATGTTATAAAAGACAATACGACACATTTCAATAAGCATTCCATATACTTCTTGTACTGTATGTCCTCTAACTGACGCCTGAAGCAAGGTTTTGCCCGAGAAGCTAATAGTTGCTTAGCCACTCCAGGAATGTCCAGCATTTATAGAAGCATGGATGTTTATTACTCTGTTCACAAGAGACCGCCGCTGGGCCTTCTCCTGAGTCAGATTAGGCCATTGAACACCCATCATCTTACTTTTCTAAAATCCATTTTAATATTATCCTCCTATCTTCGTCTAAATTATCCTAGAGGTCTCTTTCCTTCAGGTGTGTAGCACGGTTGGGAAAGAACGGAAGTGGATACAAAATTCTAATCGGAAGTCTTGAAAATAAGAGACTGTTTCGGAAATATTGGCATAGATGTGAGTATATAATGGCCTATGAAGATTAATTTTATAGAAAAGGGAATGAGTTGATAGACTGAATTGATCTGGCGAAGGGTAAGGTCTAGAAGCGGGCTAGTGAGAACTCGGGAATTAAGTTTCTGGTCCAATTAAAAAAAAATCACTGGGTGCTGCGCAAGTTTTGAGGTTGGAACTAGTCACTAATTAAAGCGAGAATGGATATATGAGACAATGAAGCCCCCCTCTCATTGAAGAGGCCCCATTTCAAAGCACGTAAGTGGTTTTGGAACTAACAAAAATATGGGCATGGGTCCCGACGGTCTCCGAAACCAGTATTGGCTATACTGGGGAGGACCAGCAGCAATTTAGCCTACCGACCGAGACAAAATCTGGGGGTTTTCTGAGAGGTGATATTTTTAATTATGTCCTTCTGGTCTACAGGTTGTGTAGTTTTGCAGGTGATTAGCAACTTTTCAGAGGAACTTATTACTCCCATTCAGAGGTCTACTATTCTGAAGATGGAGGCAATATGTTTCTCCGAAACGTACCAGACTACACCCCGTTACATCCCAGAAGATTCTTCATAATCACCACCGTGAGAATGCCATATCTCATAGGAGATTCTTTCTTTTTGATATAGTGAGACAATATACAAGATCCTGAGAATCCCTAACCGAAAGACAAAATCTCAGAGTTATGTGTTGTTTACGCACAGGTGTTTGTGACCAGCCCTTATGACTTGCCGCTTCTGGGGACTGACGTCACTTCTGGAAGCACGGCGCAGGTTTCTCTGTCAGCCCAGGTGACGTACACGACTCCTCAGGTACACGACCTGTGTACAGAAAGACGTGGCTGCATATACGAGAATGAGACCGAGGCGCTGGGATTCCCCTATCGTCATGGCAACTGTATAGCCCAGTGCCATCGCCACAGTACCTACTTGTACTGCAACTGCACCCCATACTTCTTCCCTACCGAAGGTATGAACCTCTTACCACATGTTACCATAGTTATTTCGTTACGCGAATGGAATGAACTGGCTCAGGTTCGCGTCTATTGGCGGGCTACGTTAAGGTTATGAGGATGGAGATGGATTGAACTGGCTCAGAATCGTGTCCAATGGCGGGCTTTGGTATTAGCGGTGTTGAACCTTCGGGTTCTGCTACCAGAGTTAGTTAATTAGTAATATGGATCTTAGGGAAACAGTCTATGAGGTTGGAGATGGATTGAACTGGCTCAGGATCGTGTCCATCTGCGGACAATGACGTTACCGGTGTGTAAATAATCGGCGATTTCATATTTATTTATTTATTTATAGCTTATTTAATGACGCTGTCAGCGGCGCAGCTCACATCAGCTGCCGTGTTCGTAAGCAAAAGAAAACGAACTGCTTCTGTTCTCAGGAATCCTATCGGTGTGCGATGTGTCTGGGCTGATGTGCTTATCTGAATCCAATGGTAAGTCTTGCAGTATCTGTTGTGTATTGCAAATACTGTCACCTCGTTCTTCACACGTCAAATTATGGAGACCGCCACGAATTCTCTCCAAGCCAGAAAACTGGCTTACAAACTTACATTTTAAACCGTCTAATATTTTTCTTACGTGTTATCATAGATAATTAAGAAGAGAAGCATATTTTTAAAAAATTATTTTAATTCTTGTTAAGGCGGAGACGCCTAGTTTGCCCCTCTCCCGAGGGCACCGCAATATTGCGACCCCACACTACGTATAATGCAAGAAATTTCAAATATTGATATAACCGTCATATTAATTTATCAACTTGATTTACCGTAATTACGCATGTATAGGCAGCACATTCTTTGCCAAAAATTCGAGAGGAAAACTGGGGTGCGGCTTATATTCGAAATATTTGAAATCACACACTTTTTTTTTTCGTCAACGTCGAATTTTCTCCCTGATGCTCGATTTCCGTGTTCTTGTGCGTAACGCACCACTTGAAGTTTAAATTTAGACGTATAACCTGCTCTTCACCCTCGTTGGTGTCTCCACCTTATCGTGGTGAGGGTGTTTGGGTATGCCAAGGACCCTGAGAGCTATACCAGCGGTAGCGTAGCTACTGGCAGGGCCTCCCTTGCTGGACAGGTCAAAGGGTAGGCATCAGACGAAGAGAGACACCGAAAACTGATGCCGGAAGCAGCGTCATCAGCGGCGACTTGAAGCACAGAGAAAATGATGCTCGAGATGGTTCAAGTTCGTATAGCAACAGGCGTGACCAGAGTGNAACGTTGCCAAATTTCGGAATAATTTCTACTCCTGAAATAATATTCCAAGAAAATTATTTTTTCTATAATTTCTGTCTGAAAATTGTGCTGCGGCCTATACACGCACGCGGCCTATACATGCGTAAATACGGTATTCCAGTACGCTTTATTTGAAGGCCAGCTCAGGCGATGATGGAGATCGCTTCCGGTGTTAAACTCATTCATTAAACACCTCTATCTGTTCCCGGAATAAATATATGAAATAAACTCCCATATATCTGACAAATTAATTATGAGCACATGTTTAACCGGTTAATGTAGGAATAACACCGTTTATTACAGACGTGTATAATTACGAGAAGCCTGAGAAAGACAACCCCTTCTTTGACGACGGCCAGCAAGGCATGGTTTGCAAGTGTCAAGCTGACTGCGACAGGATAGAGTACACGTCGGAGTTCTATGTAACCCAAGGGTAAGCTTATTGTGGGTCTAGCATTAAGCACAGGGCCTTATTGTTCTTGGTGCAAGCGGTAGCATAGTTGGTTGAGGCACTATGCTACAAGACGGAAGGTCGCGAGTTCGAGTCCTGATGAGGTGGATCTTTTCAATTTACCTAATCCTTCCAGCCGCACTGTGGTCCTGGAGTCGACTAAGCCTCTAACAGAAATGACTACCAGAAATCTTCCTGGGGGGTAAAAGGCGGCCGGTGCGTGAGGCTGACAACCTTACCGCCATTTGTGAGCCGATTTTCTAGACAATGTAAGACCCTCAACGTCTAACAACCTTATGAGCCTCCATGTCCTGTTACAAGGATAGCTTTACTTTTTTCACCTTATTTTTCTATGGTAATAGAGAATTCTGCAGGTTTCTCTATCATAACTTTTGAATAAATTTACGGATTTTCATTAAATTTGGTACCGAACTCGCGTCGAGTGGACAGTATGCATGCTCCGTTTATGGGCGGTCGCGGGTTCAATCTCGGCCAAGCGACCGGACAAAATAATTGAGATATATCTGTGGATTTCCTCAATGCCTGCAACTAATTACCAGAATAAAACCTCAAATTAGGGCACGCCCACTTCCCTCATACACTTTCCAATTTATTACTTACAATTCATAGTAACTGTTCGACACTATATAGCCTGAGCTACTGAAACCGTTGTTGTCATAACTCTCCATAAGAGATCGGTGACGTTTGCTTAAGTTAGGCTAGACCGTTTATGATAGGTGACGTCACATTTTCATTTTGGGATATATTCCTCGGCTCACACATGCTCTAGAGTCATTGTCAGTGTAACACGTTACATGGCCACCGTCGGAACCAACCATACTGTCCCTCTCTACAGAGGTCTCAGCGGTGCCGAAGATCAGGTCCTGCTGGATATCCACTTCAAACATCCCACAGTGGTGCTATACCGCACGGACGTGGTATTCGGATGGCTCGACCTCACAGGTACGTACGCATGATGGGGTAGACATGTAGGTCAAATGGATGGGCGATACGTGCATCTGGGTTAGCCTCCTGGAAATTATATGCTACTTAACGTTAAACAGAGTGCCACAGCTCAAGCGGTTAGTCGCTGGCTTCCCACCGCGGCGGCCCGGGTTCGATCCCTGGTCTGGTCAAGTAGGATTTGTGGTGAACAAAATGGCGCTGGGGCAGGTTTTCTCCGAGTACTTCGGTTTCACATGCCAATCTTCATTCCACCAATTGCTCCACAATCACCCTCACCTATCATCTTGGGCTGGTACAATAGGCCAGAAGTGGCCGCAGTACAAGGGACTTAGTCCCACCCCACTAGCAATAAAAATGAAAAAAGTTAAACAGAGCGGTACACATAGATACAAATACTCTGTAGAGGATTAACTATTATTTTAGCCTACTAACATAATTCGAAAAACAAAATGAGGCTTATGAAGTCAGATTGCTGTCTGTCTGGTCTATCCCCCTCTTAATTGACGAAAGCCGGAATAGTGAAGTACTGTGTGTTTGTGCGTATACTTCCCTTACCGTTGCTAGGCAAGAGCTCGGTGAAAGAATTGTACGCGTAGTTTTCTATGCAGTCCGTGTAGTATTGAAGGAAAGTACAGTGACTGATCATTAGTTTTGATAAATGGATTTTGGAATATCTAAGCCTTCGTTTCGCTGTGAACTACATTTTCAACATTTAATCGGCGCTGTCCATATTTATACAACCAAAATACTCTACGTAAGGGTTCCGAAGAAGGAACTTTGTGTGCCTCCCGAATCATAAAATAGGACAGAGCTAGTAATATATTGCTGTTTTCTTCTGCAGTGTCTCTAGGAGGTGTTGCCGGACTCTTCATTGGTTTCTCCTTGCTGAGTGGTGTCGAACTCATTTACTACCTCACATTTCGGCTCTACGGACTGTGGCGGGCAGAGAGACGCAGCAAGATTGCTCCGAAACTCAAGACAAAGCAACCTTCTCATCAGAATGTTTTTCGTTCACGCAAACTACACGACATGCACAAGTCATTACAGAAGATACAAAGAGTGCATCCTCATCAATGTTACTAACGGCTTGCTTGTATACAGGATTCGAGGTTCTCAAGCGCTGTCTATGAAGAGTACTGTCTTCTGGGATATAATACTGTATAGCCGTTCAAAGTCAACCGATGTTTCGGAGGAATATGTCGACTCTATCTTCAGGATCGAATGAAAAGTCAAGTAAGAAACCAGCATGAAGCAGGTAACAAGAAGAGCACTCGAAAGCTCAGGTTTACATACGAAGATACGATGAAAGAGCAAGACAAATTTCACTTCGTATTGGCTCGCTCACAGAACAGAGTGAACCAGAGTGAACCAAGTGACTATTTCGACGTCCCCAAGTACAAAATGCTACTCTTCATTCGAAGCGTAGGATTGCTGAGGGGATAAATCAAAAGAGGTACATGAGATGTAGCTTTCATGGTCACGTCCTGGACGCAAACAAAATATTGTTTGTAGAAATAATCTTTCAGTCTACGTCACACTCTGAGTAGCCAACATTAAGAGAGACCTCCGTTATGGCGACATTGGCTCGCGTCATATGTTCAAAGTACAGTCCATCAGGAACTTCCTGATGGTGAATTGCGCCAACATCTGGCGATGACGCAGCTTCAGATCAGTTCAGGCACCGCTATAAATTATACAGACTACAGCCAGCACAGCCACACCATAGAACTGGAGACTGCATTTGTCATATGGGCTACTGTTTCTATAGCTTTCATAGTTAAAGTTCTCCCTGTCCTTAGTTAACTAAACGTGCAGGCCGTATAAAGTCAAGGAGGATGAGGTGGGCAGGGAATGTAACACGAATGGGGTGGAGAGGAATGCATATAGGATATTGGTGGGAAAGCCGGAAGGAAAGAGACCACTGGGAAAACCAAGACGTAGATGGGTGGACAATATTAAAATGGATCATAGAGAAATATTATGGAATGGTATGGATTGAATTGATCTGGCTCAGAATAGGGACCAGTGGATGGCTCTTGTGAACACGGTAATGAACCTTCGGGTTCCATAAAATGCTGGGAAATTCTTGAGTAGCTGTAGATTTAGCGGCTCCTCAAGAAGGGCTCAGCTCCATAAGTAAGTAAGTAGCCCGTATCATAGCTCGGGCGGTTATTCGCCGGCTTCCCACTTAGATGGCCCGGGTTTGAGCCCAGGTCAGGTCATGTGGGAGTTGTGGTGGACGAAGTAGCACTGGCGCAGGTTTCCTCTGAGTACTTCGGTTTCCCCTGCCATTTCTCATTCCACCGACTGCTCTACACTCATGTCATCTAACATCCGGGGCTGGTACAACAGGCCAATTAGTGGCCGATGTGCCAAGTGCACTCAGTCTCATCCCACACAAAAGAAACTAAGCACTATTCCATGATGACATGTCGGGAGGTTGAGGTACAGCTCTACCATTCTTGACCACGTCACTAGATGGGCGTGGGTGGTCAGCTTCACTATCCGGCTGCTTTACCCCCGAGAAAAGAACCAAGAACCCCTGTTACCGATTGGATAGTAGGCTGAGCGGGACTCAGAACCAGTCTGGACGCTGTGGAGCACAGTAAAATATCGTGACCCTGCCTAAAATCGAAAACCGGCTGTCCAGGCCGTAACCTGTCGCTATACCGGCTGAACTAACCCGGATCCCACCTCTGATACTTACAATGCAGAATATTCACAGAGCCTTAACTTGTCATATGAGCTATAAGTTTCATAAAATTCATAGTTATGCCAAAGAGAATTTGTAACCAAAGTTGCTACATCCGTAGCTACTGTATTATGTATAAAACAGATATGTACGGCTCTCAGAGCTTGTTCAGATCTAATCAGTTCCAAGTCAGACCTACTTAGCTGTGGCCGCGCCATAGCTCAAGCGGTTAGTCGCTGGCTTCCCATCGCGGCGGCCCTGGTCCGATCCCGGGTCTGGTCAAGTGGGATTTATGGTGGACAAAGTGGCGCTGGGGCAGGTTTTCTCCGCGTACTTCAATTTCCCCTGCCAATCTTCATTCCACCAATTGCTCCACAATCACCCTCACCTATCATCTGGGGCTGGTACAATAGGCCAGAAGTGGCCGCAGTATAAGGGACTTAGTCCCACCCCACTAGCAATAAAAAAAATACTTAGCTGTGTGGAAGGAAGATGTATTTGTACGTAACCAATTATTTTACCTCTCTTTTGGCTCTTTATTATTCGATAGATTTTACAGGTTCATCCCTCCTGATTATGACACTATAAAGGCCAAAGGCTGTTGCAACAATGAGCACGACTAACTTACAAACAAATAATAACCTAACTCCATAGATATGAAACAGTCTTGGAAAACTAACAGTTGCTCATTTATTCAAGAAATCACCATCATATTATTGAACCCGAATGTTTGTTGTTGTGTCCCTATCAAGAACTCTACCATTCTTCTGTAAGATCCATTTCAATTTTATCCTCCCATTTATGCCTAGGTCTCCCCAGTGGTTTCCGTCCCCCGGACTTTTCAACAAACGTTTTGTATGCTTACTTACTCATGGAACTGATCCCTTCTGGAGGAGCTACAAATTGTGCAGCTACTCAAGAATTTCCCAGCATTTTATGGAACCCGAAGGTTCATTACCGTGTTCACAAGAGCCCTCCACTGGTCCCTATCCTGAACCAGATCAATCCAATCCATACCATCCCATCCTATCCCTCTAAGATCGATTTTAGTATTGTCCACCCACCTACGCCTCGTTCTTCCCAGTGGTCTCTTTCCTTCTGGTTTTCCCACCAATATCCTATATGCATTCATCGTCTCTCCCTTTCAGGCTACATGCCCTGTCCACCTCATCCTCCTTGACTTGATCACTCTAATTACTTGGAGAAGAGTATAAATTATGAAGCTCCTCATTATGCAGTTTTCTGCAACTTCCTGTCACTTCATCCAAATATTAAACGTTTTGTATATATATAAAATTTATCCAATGCCTGTTACGTGCCCTGCCCATCTCGTTCTCCTTCATCTTATCATTCTAGCTATATTTTGTGACGAGCACAACTCATGAAGCTTCTCATTATGAAGTTTTCTCTAATCTTCTGTTACTTCATTCTTTTCAAATCCAAATATCGTCAGGAAATGTTCTCAAGCCTAGGCTCTTCCCTTAACGTGTAAGACCAAGTTTTATACCCAATAGGCGCTGGTACCCCCATACATTCGAATGTAAAGTTAGAAAAATGCAACCTTCTGCTCCAGTTCTTCACCTCTCGTCTACTTCAAAACCAGTCTATTAATGTAACTAGTGTATACATTATGTGCAACAGCACACTTGTCGCAGAAGCCTCAGGGGATCTTCACGTACGTTAGTTGCCTGACTGTTGGCCATATGTCAGCATTTATCGCGGAGGCCCTATGGCTGGCCACTCGACACAGCTTTTCTTCTGTATTCAAGTACGTTAAATATTAAGATGGTTCAAAGTTGCTACTGCGTACTTCTCATAGAGTCC